GGCCTCCGCCCCGGGCGCGCCCGCTCACCTGCCCCAGCGCCAGGGCCCGCACCGGCCTCACAGCGGTCACCCACACGGTGCCATCTTGGTTGAGGGTCAGCACACAGGGCACTGGCAGAAGAGAGGGGCCCTTGGCGTGGTCGCCCCGGCCCCGAGCAGGAGGCACCCGAGGGCGAGGCCAGCCAGGGGGCAGCGCGAGTCGCTGGCCCTCAGGCCCAAACTCCGGCCGCCCGTGCTGGGGGGGTGAGGGGACCCGGCCCCCCCGTCACCTAGCGCCATCTGGTGGCGGAAGCGGAAGCAGCACTCCACCATCTTGTCCCGGACCAGCCCGGCCGGCGGCTCCTCGGCCACCCAGTGCACCCGGCCGGTACGCAGCAGGTCTCTGTACAGGGCGGGGTGGTCCGTCCGGGGGGCCTGAGAGCGGAAGGCCAGGTCAGGGCGCCCCAACCCGCAGGTCCCCAGGGACGAGCCTGGGCAGTCTCACCCGCGAGCCGGGAGGGGGGAGGTGGCGGCCAGCCCAGCCCCCCTCAGGGGGCAGCACCCTCTCCCCAAGCCAGGCAACTGGCCTCAGCGCCCCAACTCCGACCCCAAGGATCCGGCCGGGACCCGCAGGCTTCAGGGGGCCACGTGGGGGCCAGGGTGGCGGCGGCGGCCCCAGGCCACGGCCCTCCGTGGAGAGAAGGTCCCTGGCGTGACGGCGCCCCGGGCCAGGCGCACTCACCACCAGCACGTCGCCCGTGGCGCCGTCCTTGTCCACCACGTACCAGGGCTCCCGCAGGCCGCCGATGTTGGCTCTCTGGCCCAGCGTGTACAGGAACCAGCCTGTGGGAGGGCTCGTGAGGGCCGCGCCCGCCAGCGCCCTCTTCTGCCAGCTCCTGGGAGGCGTGTCCCCCCCCCCCCCCCCCCCAAGCGGGCTGTGCCCTGGGTGTCCGGCACCCGAGTGGCCAGACTGCCCACAGCTGGAGCAGACCCAGGGCGTGTGGCCGTCCCTGCGTGCCTGGCGCCAGCCCCGCCCCGCCGCAGGGCTCTCGAAGGACAAGCCAGCAGCAGGGCGTACGGCCTGCCGGGAGGTTGGGGCGGCTGTGCCGAGACCCCCAGGACACAGGACATCAGGGCTTGGCCCCGGCCAGGCGGTGGCTGCCCCTGCGGCGCTCCTGGGGCTCAGCCCAAACCAGGAACCCCGAGCTCTGAAGACACCCCGCCTGCCCCGGGGCACGGCACCGTGGCCTCCCAGAGACGGTGACCTTTGAGCGGCGGCCGCGAGTCAGAGAAAAGCTCCCGGGGCTGCGTGGGGGCACCTTCACCACTAGGGCCCCTGGGCAAGGCCCCCCACACCCCCACCCTCTTCTGGGGCGCGGGGTCCGGGCACCTGCCGAAATGCCGCACCTTGGTGGGCTCCCAGGACGCGCCCGTCCTCCACGGAGACGAACCGGCCGGGCCGAGGCTGCAGGTACTGAGACAGGCGGGCGTCACG